CTTGACCTTTTCATCAAAGCAAAGATTCCATCTGCGAGGTGCTTGCTTTAATCCATAAATGGATTTCTCAAGCTTACACACTCTATTAGGGTACTCGTTGCTGACAAAACCTTCTGGCTGACTCATGCAAACATCTTCAGTCAACTTTCCATTAAGAAAAGTGGTTTTGACATCCATCTGCCAAATTTCATAGTCATGAAATGCAGCTATGGCTAACATAACCCTAATAGACTTAATCTTGGCTACTGCAGAAAAAGGTCTCATCATAATCCACTCCAGGAATTTGAGAGAAGCCCTTTGCAACCAGTCGAGCCTTATAAGTGTGTACATTACCATCCATGTCGGTCTTCTTCTTGAAGATCCATTTGCACCCTACAATCTTACGACCTGGTACATTCTCAACCAAGTTCCAAACTTGATTGTCATACATGGATTGTATCTCTCTATCCATAGCCTCTTTCCATTTAGCAGACTCGAGGCATACCATGGCTTCCTCGTAGCTGTTAGGGTCATCTAGACCTACTAGTGTCCCATCACTAATAAGTGTCTCACCTTCTGCAGCAATATGGAAACCATAGTAGTGCTCAAGTGCACTCCTAACTCTCGTGGAACGCCTCAGAGGTACAGATTCGTCAATTGGCTCAACAAGAGTTTCCTCCTCAAGTTGAGGGCTAGTGTTTGAAGTTCCTTCACCACTTGACTCTTGAATTTCTTCAAGATCAATTTGCCTCCCACTGTCTCCTTGGCTTATAAACTCTCTCTCTCCCTCCCTCTCTCTCTCTCTCTCTCTCTCTCTCTCTTTATCTCTCGAAAGACTCCTCTTCTTGCTACAAAGACCACATTATCACTAGGTATGTAGAAGAGGTAACCAAAGGATCTTTATGGGTAGCCGATGAAAATACACCTCTCGCTTAGAGGTTCTAGCTTATCATGAGTCTTGCGTCTCACAAAAGCCTCGCAACCCCAAATCTTGATGTGGTCTAGTTTAGGTACGTGACCAGTCCACATCTCGTGAGGAGTTTTGGCAACTCTCTTTGTAGGGACTAGATTAAGAATATGGGTGGCAGTCTCTAAGGCATACCCCCAAAATGAGATTGGTAGCGAAGCTTGACTCATCATGGAACGAACCATGTCTAACAAGGTTCAATTACGCCTCTCAGCCACACCATTCAACTGTGGTGTCCTGGGAGGTGTCAATTGTGAGACAATCCTACATTCCCTTAGATAGTCAAGGAACTCTGAACTAAGATACTCACCAACTTGAATTTATGATTTATATGTCAAAATTGTATGCTAGTTGTAGGATTCATGCTTTGGAAATTTTATTGCATGTATAACTAGAGAAAACTTAGATTCAAAGCTATTAGAGTTGTATGTGCACCATAGAAGTGTTATAGTACACATATGAGTGTTATAGTACACAAAACCCAACAGTGGTATCAGCGACATGGGTAGTTTTCTTTTATGTTCATACATAGCTAATTGTTCAAAGTTGAAGCAAAATGAAAAACATGTTTCTATCAGCATGAACTTGACGAGTCCACTATCGGACTCGACGAGTTTTTGGTGATGAACTCGACATGTCCATAGCCTGGCTCGACGAGTTGGATCATCAATTGGCAGGATTTTCAAGTTTTTGGCCTGTTTTGGATTAGGATCATTACCACAAAATGTTTTGGTTCATAAAATTTGATTTTGTTAATATCGTAATGATTGGCTTAGGTTATTATAACTGTGGCAACGAGCGATCGGAAGAAGAAAGATATTGGCTATCGCGTTGTGTTTCACGTGAGTACGAGTGTTTTTGCTCGTGTTTGGATGCGTATTCCAGAATATTTCTTCGTGTGTGTGCTTGGTCGGCAGGAAGTGGAGTGTGTACAAGAGGGATATGATAGGGAAAAGGTTGGGGGCGACGATGAATAGAAGAGAAGAGGGAAGAGGCGGACGTGAGGATATATACTAGAAATCGGGTTTTAAAACTGATACTCCTAAACTAAAGGGATATTAATTGATTTATATATTTACCATAATTAATTAAATGTATGATTACATATTTACCATTTTGAAATGATTAGTCAATATTTATTCATACAATAACACAATAATTACTTTAAAATACATGAACCTAGCTTGGTAATGATTATCTACATCCAATAACATGATGATCACCAAAATTTTAAGATAATTACTTGATTTTGTGAAAATCTAATTATTTGTAAAATTTGAATCACCAGTACAAAAGTGACCTACAGACACACAATAAAAGTGTGACTATATGTGTACAGTGACATTTTATTTTTTCACTGAAAGTGTGACAGAAAGTGACGTCATCGTATGGATCTTATGGTCACTTTTAAGTGTAGTGTATGTATGATATGAAAAAATGTGGCCGTATTATAAAAGTGTGGCTATTGGGTTGGGAATTTTGTTGCTAAAATCAATTATTTTATCCAATATTGTGGCGTTAAACCGTGAGTAAGACACACTTATTTAGTAATTGTAGTGATTGTATATCCCCAACTTGCAACATACATTTTGTTTCGGTGTGACTTTTTACTAAAAAATTATCACACAATTTAAAGTTTATTAAAAGACAGGTAATTATGGTGAAAATGACCATGTTCGCTAAATATTCATATGTAATTAATCTCATAAGTGTCAGTTTACTAATAATTAGTCACAAAAATAATCTATGTTTGTGACCATTACCTATCGTATAGAGACACACAATTAAGTGAAAGTAATTTAAATGTAGCTATTAGTATTCTGTCAACACACAATTTAGATGAACATGACTACTGTTTTCAATGCTGTCACATTATTTGTATATAAAAATGTCACTTTTTATATTCTGTCACACAAAGATTATATAAATGTGACAATATATGAACTTTTAGTCACGTAATTATTGAATTTATTGAAATGTGGTATTTATTTGCCACATCATTTTTTACGTTGTTATTAGTTTAGTTGTCATCATAAAACGTTGAGAAAAGCGTGATTTTAAAACACTTGTAGACATAATTAGATTAGAACATGGTTATTGTTAAGCGTTTAGTTACACATAAAAAATGATGTAAAATGACCATTGTATAATTTTAGAGACATTAAAAAACAATAAAACATGGCGAAATTTATATTAAAGCCATATGAAAATTTTGAGATTTGATAATGGTTGTAACCTTCAACAACACTATTTTAATTTTTATTGTTATTTTTCCTATATTGTAGACACATCAAAATTATATAAATGAAAATAACCATAAAACAAGAACATTAAACTATATCAAAAGTAAGAATTAGATATTATTAATAATTGAAATCCACTCCAAACATTAAATTTGTAGATAAAATAGCAAAAAAAAAAAAAAAATTAATTACAAGTATTAAAATATGATAAAGAAATCCAGAACATCATAAATCAACAACTAGACACAACTACGCATTCATTTTGTTGGTATTGTTCTTTATCTTCTTGAGAATGATATCAGTTGATATGAAAGTTGGATTTCGCTTGTTTGGGTTTTCAAGTTCATGGACTTGAGATGATATCATATTTAGTACTTATACTAACAACATTGAAACAAAAATTAGTAAATAAAAAACTTAATAGAGTATCTTATGAAGGAAAATAAATTGTAATGCACAATCAAGTTACCATAAACAAACCTTTGAATCAGGTTTCACAAAGTGTTTTGGCCATGGGACGAAAGGTTTATACGCCTGCACAAATGTTTTGATTTCTCATATTAATGAATCCTTTTTTACCAATTCATCAATGAGCACTTTATAGCGCTTTATAGCGGTCATCTTGCAGAAGAACTCCATGAATAAACTGTCTGATCACGAGCAATAATGTTCCTTTTATCCAGATATGATAGGCTATACTTGAATGGCTACAATAATGTGTGATATTAGCATCAAAAAATAGAAAACAAAAAATGTATGTTTAGCATTTGAAAAAAAATACTGATCTGGTGAAATGGATTTATTTTTTGATGAAAGTGTTGGTATCGCTGGAATGGCAGTGGAAATCTTAGACTCAAACAACTTTTCTCGTGGTTTTTGCAACTACCTAAAATAAAGATTTAAAACATATATGAAAAATTAGGATTTAATATAAAAGATAAATTAAAACTAATGAGATAACGAATAGGCATGGTATACTGCAATATGATAAAAACTTTGCAAATATTCCTCCGTTAAAAATAAATGGTCATCCTTTCACCTTTTCTCGATAGAAGTACATCCTTAAACCAAACTAAAACCCCTTTATAAATATCAAAATTTTAAATAATTAACATTTAACTCATAGTTGAAGTAAAAAGGAATAGTCAAAGAAATCAACAACCAAACGGGTTGATATATTTTCCCGATACCCTTGATAAAAGGCGTGAAAATGATTTTTTCCATCAAGTCACCCATTTGGAAACATATACATCGATCGGACCCTATGGAGACAACAAATTCAGACCCTATCCAGACGAATAGTCGTCGGTATAGGATATGGCGACGACTAGTCGTCATGTCAGCATAGGTCTATAACGTCGTCGGCATAGCTTCACCTATTGCAACAACATGTTGTCGGCACAGCTTTTGTCAACCATATTTTCGGGAAAAAAAATAAAGTTTTATTAAAAACTTGTGGCGACGACATGTTGTTTGGACACCTATAGCAACGACAAGTCGTCGCGAAAGGTCTCAGCCATTACAATGACATGTCGTCGCTATAGGGTTTTTAACAGTTGTCAGTTATGGATCTATAGCGACGACTTGTCGTCGGGATAGCTACTGCTTGTTTTTTTTAGCTTTACAGGTTTTGTACATTACTATTCCTGTATTTTTAACAAATCCAAAAAACATTGCAGCATATATCAATTGAAATACATTAATTAGGTATCATTTATCAAATTCAAAACATCAAATTCAAGTTTAATATTACAATAAATAGTTAACTAACATTGTTCATAATACTAAAAAAAATATCAACCATCATTGTCCTAATCGTCTTCTCCGTCTTCTCCTTCTCCCATCCTTTCGGCAAATTGTTGAGAGGTAGTTGCTTCTGTGTTATAGTTGAATAGAAGGTTAGGAACTGGTGATGGTTGGAAGTTCGGAATACATGTCGCCAATAATGCATGATATTGTTGCAAATATTCTTGTATTTGTTGTGCATCAAATTGGGATTGAGATTGGGACGATTTGGAAGTGGAAGGCCGTTCATTTGGAATTAAACCGAAGTTGGCGGTTGGTTGCCTACCTACCCCGCGAGCATGGCTGCGTCTCGTCCCAAGGGCACGTTCTAAACATTCTTCCTCGTTTACTTCTCCAACTTCCCCAATCTCGTTTTGCATTTTCTCATATTCCTCTTGAATTTTCTCCTAAAATAAAGAAAACAAATAACATTAACTCAAACAAACAACTAAACTTAAACATTAAAATAATAATAATATTCCTTAAACAAAAAACTATAGATAATAATAATATATTTAAACAACACATTCATTTCATTTATCACTTACCCAATCTTCTTTTGCTCGAGTTGTACAATAACCCGAATCTTCTTTGTAGCGCATTTGTCTCCAACCCTCAATATGTTGTGGCTTGATTCCCATTTTTTCCTATAATAAGTGAAAATAATAAATATATTTGTACAAATGTTAATAACAATTTTAAATAATACTAATGTATTTTATTACCTCTAAATGACATCGTTGAGCATAGGATCTACATCCGTGAGCACTTGTGTGCAGAAGTCTCGACCTAGTAACTTTATTTTTGACCGACAAGTGTTTGTATTCCTCGGTCAAAAACAACAAATCAATCATATCGTTCCAAACTTCGGCGGTCCAACCAGGCGGTGGATATCTTTTTACCCTTTCCACATTTTGGTATCCACCAAATCTATCAAAATGTTTTTTTATGTGATACTTGTGCTCTCGATATGCTCTTTGCATATCTGCTTGGATACCCGCTCAAAGGGGTTCCCATAAGTTTGTGCCCCGATACCTATTAATATAAAATAAGTTTGCAAAAGGAAAAACATTTGATTAGTAAAAAAATATTTTATAAGTGTAAAATTCAATACATATAAAATATATTGTATACTTACCTCTAACTCGGGATATAAATCATCTTTGTACTTGGTAGGAACACGACGCCAAATATGACAAGGTAACGGTACTTGTGATCCCACCAGATTTGAGATCAGTCTGACAAATATTTGTCCGTTGTCCCCTATAAATCGATACGTCCGTCCGGAGATATCAATTGTCAAATCCAAAGGCCTACACTTGTTTTTTTCATACTCATCGTACAAATTTAAGTTTCTCCATTTGCCACGCACATCCACATTCACATTCTTCGCTTGTGCTATATATACATATACAATTGGAAATTTAGAAATTTAAAACTTCAATATATCTAATACTTAAAAATTTCATACAACTTACAAGATTGGTAACCTGATGGTACACTGCATGCAACCCCGTGTGGAGGTCTATCCCCACCGTCTCCTCCGTGTCCCCTCGCAACTTTTGCCATCTGTTTAACAAATATTATAAACATTCAAAATATATAATAAAGCTACAAATAAGCAACATTTCAAATTTAACAAATATTATAAGCAATCATGATATATAATAACAATAACATACCGCCAATCAGATTCATCACTAGAACAATATACATGTACAACATCATCATCAATGTCATAGTTTTCATTATTGATTTCTTCATCTGAAGAGTACGTATCATCATCGTCATTGTCATCGTTAATGAAATCGTCATCGTTTATAGTAGGAGCAACATTCCTCCTTGTAACGACACTCGATTCACCAACTTCACCTAAAGTCGTCTGCATAGGTAAGATGCCTAAGTCGACAACCAAGGTAAAATCAGTTGATTGAGTGTTGTTCACGACATCTATCTAATTCACAACACCGATACTTGGATGATTTCAAAGTGTTCGATGATGAACCTCTTCCACAACTCTCCAGTTATTCTTTTGAGTGGGATCTTGGAGATAAAATATTTGTTTAGCTTGTGTGGCTAAGATGTATTCTTGATCATCATACCATGTTTTACCGACATACCATTCATGACTGGTATCGATAAAAATCATATTATTTATAGTCTTTAAACGTCCATTACGTAATGACGCATTGAACCATTTACCATGAAAGAGTACAACTAATTTATCATATAAATAATGCAACTCTATGATTTCCTCTAATTGACCATAGAATGGTGTACCGTCTTCTCCGAATGTTACAACACCACTATTTTGAGTAGTGCGTCGGAGATCACGACTATTCACGACAAATCAGACACCATTTACTATGCACACAGTGTAAGAATATGCACCCAACGGACCATATGCCATCGCTTTTAATTCGTCAGTACAATCCGAAGGCATATCTTTTTGGAGACAATAAATCTATAAGGAAATATAAGATTGTATGTTTAAGTAATAAATTAGTTTTACATTATAAATATATAAGATACTTACCTTTTCTATAAACCATGAAGGAAATTCCTTTTTGATATCACTTTCAGTTAATTGTGATTTGAATTCAGGCAATATGAGACAAAATAATTAGAATAGTTAAAACACTATCGAAAAGGTAGTTAATAGATCAGAAACTTACAATTTGTAGCTTCTCATCTCATCCTCATAGTAATTGTTTAGGACAAACCAATGCAACTATTTTTTAGCCTCTTTACAAAGTTCAGCGATTTTCTTAGTTGACATTTTGAATGTAGCTTTTCATGTTCCATTGAAACTAAACGTGCACGATGGCATTCCAGTGAGAGGGGAGGTCGACGAGGATGTGGCATTGTACGAAATTTTGCGAGGAGGAGAATTTCTCCCTTTGAAGCTATGCTTCGCCACTTCTGTTATTCAAGCAATCAGAAATAAAATCTAATTTCTTTCACTAAAATTTTTGAAATACTCACAAGAAAGTTCACAAACTCTAAATTAATCAAATAATAATGGGAAGCATAAACCTAAACCAAGATTACAGACAAAAATCGAACCGGTACAAGGCATAATTCTAAGAGTATAGTATTCAAAAATCGTACATGTCATGGATCGGCGTCGAGAGTAAAATCGACCGGAGGTGTGGCGGGAGGTGCAGTGGCCGTCGTCAGGTATAGCGGTTGGTGGAATCGTCATCGGAAGTTGCCGCCGAAGAAGATGCGGCCGGAGAAAGAGATGAAGGTGACCGCGTATTTTTTTTTTCTTACCTGTTTAGGTACGTTCCTTAGTAAGGAGTGCTAGGGCATGACAATTTTGATTTTTGATTTTTTTTTTTTTTTTTTTTTTTTACATAAATCTTCCTATTATGTTTAAGTATGGTAAATATATTAACATCCGTTTTGGAAAAAAAAAAAAAAAAAAACGTTTTTTAGGAGATAAAATCAAGATTATTGAATTTGTTTTAAAAAAAAAAATTAGATGAATTTGAACGTGAAGGAAATATTGAGTTTTTAAAATTTTGGGGAAATTTAAACTGAAAATAAAAATTGATGGAGAATCGCTTTCTTTTTTGTTAATTAAAATTTATTATAAATATATAAAATATATAAGAAATTCGGATATTATATATTATTTTTATTAAAGTAATTACATTTTTTGGAAAAAAAAAAAACGTATTTTTAGCCACATATAATACGCAAAAGCCCTAAACCATAAGAGTGCACAGTGTCATGGGTGAAATGTCGTCGACATTCCTAGCTAGCCACCATTGTTGATGGCAAACACGACCCCATGACCATATTTGTTGACGGAGGCAAAGTCGTGTGCTTGTCGTTGCTTTGTTGTTGAATTAAAAGATAAAAAATTGTGTGTTGTGTTTTTTCATTATCATGTGTTTTGTTGCTTTTTATTTAAATAATGATAGCACCACATCCTTTAGCCTAAGCCGAAATCCTAAAGCCTTAAGTTGTAAACTACAAGCCATAAGTCGTAATCCATATGTCATATGTCATAATAGATAAGCCCACAGTCTATAGGCTTAGCCATGAGCCCTAAATCATAAGCCCCTAACCTACACCCTGAGTCATAAGCATTAAGCATTAAGCATTAAGCCTTAAGTTATATGTCATGAGCCTAAGCCATAAGCATGGATCACTATGTTGTACACTATAATCTATAAGTTATAAGTCATAGGTCTTAAACATTAAGCCATAAGCCTCAAGCCTTAAGCATTAAGCCATGTGTCCTAATACTTCAGCCTTAAAACATATGTTATATGCCTTAAGCCATATGCTATATGCATTAAGCTATATGTTAAGCCTTACACCTTAAGCCCTTAGACCTAAGCCACAAGGCATAAGCCTTAAGTTATATGCCATACAGTTTTATGGCTTATAGCTTAAAACTTAGGGCAAGTGATGTATGTTTTATAACTTAAGAATTAGGGATTAAAGCTTATAGATTAAAAATTATTGATTGTAGACTAGAGATTAGGGCTTATGATTTAGAGACATGGGCATATGACTTAAGGCTTATGTTATAATGAATTAGATTTAAGGATTAAGGCTTAGATATTAGGGCTTATGGTTTATGGCTTATGGATTATAACTTTCGGATTAGGGCTTAATACTTAAAACTTAAGGCTTATGTCTTAGAGCTCATGACTAATGGCTTAGGGGTTATATCATAGGTATTATGGTCAGGGCTTATGACATATGGTTAGGGATTATGACTTTTGCTATTACTTAAGACTTAGGGAAAATGAATTATAGTTTATATTTTAAGGCTTATGGATAAGGGATACAAGATAAAGGTTTATGGCTTAGAGTTTATGGTTTATGGCTTATGTTTGTGGCTTAAAGTTTATGTATATGGCTTAGAGCTTATGACGTATGGCTATTTATGACACTGTTACACACTTCATTGTTCTTCAACCGATTGTTCGTTCTATTCCATTTAATTTCTAATATCAAGCATTATAATCATAGAATCAGTCATGTTATGTTTTGCTACCCTAGGAATCATTGACTACTTTGGCTCCTGGGAGACCCCATTTGAATGTGAGCCCATCCAGGCAAACACACCTCACCAACATCCACATACCACCCATAAATGTTAAGTGTCACTCCCTATTACCCATACACCGAAGCCCTATCCTAAATCCCCATATCCACCCACCTCACCCCCACTTTACTATACACTTTTACCCTTACCAACACATCATATACCAACTCCAAAACACCCCCCCCCCCACAAAATACCTACAACCACCCACCCACACCCCTACACTCATCCATGCCCATACTTACACCTTCCATTAATGTTTTTATTTATTAGTTGCGAATTATTAAAAATATAATATGCCAATAATTATATACTTTTTGTCACTGGTTTTTAATAATTATATATGCATATCACAATATTTCAGGTGATGTTTGGAGGTGGCATATGTTGATGTTGCTCACTATTTTTTGTTAATCACTTAATTGAATCACTGTATTTTTTATTATTTGTACGCGAAATTGTAATTATGAATTTTATATGTATTATGAAATTGAAATTGGTAATTGTGATTGATGACCCACTGTATCTTTTTGTGAAACTCCATGTAAGAGTTAAATTTTTTTTAAGTTTCTCTCGAATGCTTGATTGTTTTCTTGATAAAAATCCTTTTGACATTGTTTTGTGTTTTGATATTGTTTTGTACTTTGTAATATAAAACTATCTTGTTAAAACCGTAAGTAATTAGAAAGTTAGAAATTATTGTTTGTTAAGTATACATTATATGTATGGCAAATAGTATGATTCCTTCATATTACAAGAGATATGGGTGCTTCATTATCATTTTAAACAAGTTCTAATTTTCATGTGTGATTAGGTTGACAATAAACATGGGGTCAAGAAGGATAGACTAGGGTACACACTAGTTGAGCTAAATAGATTAGGCTATAAAGAAAATTATTTGATGTAGGTAATTCCAACAGTCTTTAAATGAAAATCATTACATTTTTTTTTTTTTGCAAAAGCTGTCCCAAACTCTAATAATAAGTTATGTGGTTTGGGTTTGAGTCAATGACTCTATATAAGTCATATTGTTGAATATTCAACAAAGGGCATTTTGATGAAGACTATTCTTTAAATTTATACACAAATTAGTATAAAAAGAATGACAATTACATAATTATAGTCACACATTCAATGACCATGCTATAATTATATTCATCAGACATTATATTTCTTCTAACTAGATTTACTTATAGGCACACATAATAATTGTAAACATAACCAAATGCAACTTACAGTCATAATATTTGTTTTTTTCAAAGCCAATTCATCATGTTTTGACACACATAATAAAAGGCACATAACCATAAATCACTCAAATTAACTTGTTTTCTTGCTTTTACTTTGTCACTACTAAACATCATCCTATGGATATACAAATATTTAATGTTTCCATATGTATCCCCTGTTAGACACATTGGATCATGTGTCAAAATAGCACCGTGATACTGAAACATATACATTTGCCTCATGTCACTAGATATCTATGTAGTGTCTCTTATATAAAAAGTATCATAATGTTAATCTATAAATGTGGCTGGTAGTGAAATATGGCCATAGTCTTCGAGTGTGGCTAATCATTGTCACAATTTGTATAATTAAGTGTGGTTAAAGTTTTGATTATCTATACAATGGACACACAAGCTAATTTAAATGTATCCAAAAATAATCTCTAAATTTTTAGTGACCTTTTTAATAAAAAGTGTGACATACCGTTTTTCAAAAAGTGTCATCGTATGTCATTTTTTGTACTAGTGAATCATTTTGCTACAAGAGTTGAATTATATCAATTTAGTAAAAGATAAAATGATATGATTGTTTTATTAGTTTAAAGTTTGATCTAAATGTTTTAAGGAGTTACAAATTTTCTCATCAAATTTGGAACTAATTTTTTTTAGGAAGTTACAAATAAATATTAGTTAAATTGATCTTAATCTTTTGAAGAGTTCCATAAGTTATGGAACTTGAAAACTCTCGTCTTCATAAAACAAATTAACTCCTTAAGTTATGGAGTTTAAAAGTTTTTCAAGAATTACAAAACTTGCCCTCAAGTTTTAAAAGTTGAAAAGTCTCAATTAAGAAACATTGAATTCATAGAAACCCTAGTAATTTGAAAAGTTTTCAAAAATATAACTCATGGGTTCATAACTTAAAACTAATTAAATAGTTTTAATTTGATTTAGCATCTTGATGTTTTTAAATAGTTTAATTAACTCTTATGGATTTTATTAATAGTTAATTAAATGTTTAACTAAAAGAGTATTATTAAATCCAATCATATGGTTTAAGTTTAATTAAATTAAGAATATAATTTATTAACAAATTAAACCATCAAGTATTTTAAAAGTTTAAAATACAACCTTATACTATATAAAATTAAAATTTTAATATATTATATATGTATAAGTAAAAGGTCAGTCTTACTGTTAGTAGGTCTCATTCACGAAGTCGGTCTATAAGGGGGTATAAGGTTACTGCCTATAAAATGATGGTTTAATGGGTGTCCACTCTCACCCACCGCTTCCTTGACTGGTGGAGGGTCGTTAGCTGAACGAGTTGGATAGCACACCAAATCATCATTAAAAGTATAATGAATTATAAAGTAACTAAACCCTTATAAATTCCCAATCTTAGTTACTTTAGGAAAAATATGAATTTGATGGTAACCCATGAAATTGCATATTGCACCTTATCAGTCGTTAGTGGAGCGTGTGTGGTTAACCGACACACTAATCTGGGATTAATGTAGGATGACAATGGGTATCTTGGAGATTATCATAGATCAATGGAGCGTGTGTGGTTAACCGACACATTGATTGACTGATAAATTACTTCGAGAGTACCAAACTAATTTTCATGGTTATTCACACCTTGTTTGTGATCCTCGGTATCCCGGTCACAAACTTGAAGGGCATAATCAAGATTAAACCATGTCATTGAAAAGTTCAATGAATATCAAAAGAATCTAGGAATTTCAATTCATTTAAAACTTAATAATCAATTTCGTTTTTCATGGTGAAAATTGGTAAATCTTCATTTACCTACCTTCAAATATCTTCAAATATTTTCCAATTGGATTACGACATCCCTCTTCCGAATTGTAGAATATTTTGTTGGGTCCTAGCCTTAATATT